ACTGTTAACATAGATGTTAAACTGGCCGTATAGCTTGATGTCAGCACCAGAACCACGAAAACCCACACAATAAGAACAAATCTTGATAAGTTACTTGTTATCTTCTCTTCTGCAACAACCAGTCATATATAGGATTTGTTGAGAAACAAGGAGAAATGTTAAACTTTTGGTCTATAATTTGATTTTAGTTAGAGACTTACTATGAGCAAAAACAAGAGTTGAGAAGGAAAACCAGAATATCATCCCAACTTGCTTGCGTTTGGGACCTCGAAACTCTTTATTTACACGATGTTCGAGTACCCAAACCACAAAACCAATGAAGACGAAGAATGCTCCGGTTGCTATCCACAGCTCAGCCTTCAAAGGTTTCAAGAAGATCCAAGCGTTCTTCCTATCATCGTTCCTTACAGGCACAACTGCAGAGATACTCGACTCTGAAAAAGGTAATGTGAAATCTACATGCTCAGATCGGCTTGCTAAAATGGTAACATCGCCTACAACTGCATCATATTCCTGGTTTCAAGCAAACATTGATTATGTCAGTATTTATTGTTGGTTGGAAAAGCAGAACATAGATAAGATGTCCAAAAAAGGAGCATGTAAGTGAGTCATTTTACCTTAGAAGTGATCTTGTTAACAAGATCATCATAGTTTTGAGAAGTTGGGCTATGCGCTATTGGAAATGGAACAAAATCGTAAGGGACAGCATATGGCAAAGATAGGATGACTTCTTTGAAGACATCTGGACCAAAACCAGTAGCACTTACTGCTTGTGTCTTTGGATCTCTTACCACTTTAATGAATTGCTCCAACCCTCCTTTGTCAGGAACTCCAATCCTTAACTTCTTCCCACTTGTGGGTATTTCCCAGCCTCTCGGGACATCAGTAGATTCACCAGGCCAAATGATGACCCCTAGCTGTTTATTATTAGTTATAGCTGTTTTACCATTCGTCTTCAGTTTATGCGAAATGCCATCCTTTTCTGTCCAGAACCCAACGATTTTCTCTCCTTTCCCAATTATATTCACAATCTGATATGGGGATGGCTGCAGTTCTCTACTAACGATATGGAAATCACCACTTAGACCTGGTTTTAGCTCTGTGTTTGTCAAAGAGTGAATGAGCAGAGATCCCACTTCTGAGGTTCCAAGTGCATCTAGGTCTGTAATGTTCTCTCTAGTGTCTGGTTTCCTTAATTTTTGGATAGAAGTAGTGCCCACTTTCTCTAGTGCTTCTGCTAATATGGTGATGCTATCATATGCCCATAGCCCGAAAATATTGAGTTCTACTTGGTCCATGTCTGGATACTCTTGACGGAATCTCTTTCTCCATCTCTTGGTGAACATGTCACGCTCATTTGATCTTGGAACATAAGATTTTACACCCAGAACACCTTGCATGGATGACTCAATTACTGAAGTATCTACCAGGTCCAGAAGACTCGTTAGCACATCTGTGATGATCCATGCATATCCACTGTTCATCATCCCGGCTTCTTTGGCCTTGAGGAAAAGGCGGGAGGCAAGATTTTCTTGCGTGTGCACAATGAACACCCTGGTCTGCATTGTCTTCAACTTATATAGCTCCCTGAGGATTTGATCATCATTTGCTGAAGGAGAAATACCACTTCTATAGGAGACAAAAGCATTGATTTCCAGCAAGGCATCAGTCAAATAGGGAAGTATCCCGGTTCCATAGGGGCTTTCCTCATAGATTACTACAACCTCCCTCCAATGATAGTTTTTGACAATTGCTGCAATGGCTTTAGTCTGGCTGGAAGAAGGAAGTGCTCCTCTGATGAAGTAGTGATTTTCCTTGACGGAAAGTGAAGGACTGGTTGCTGGAGATATTATAGGAACTCTTACTCTTTCGCCTAAGTCAATCACAAAGTCGGTTTGTGTAGACATTTGTGGCCCAAAGATAGCTTGTACTTGGACATCCTTTAGCAAGTATATGGCTGCACACACACAATCCAGACTGTAAGTAATTCTTTCAAAATAGGAAAACCAAGTAATATCTTAGAGAAAAAAGTGAATCTTTTGAAGCAAAGTGAGCTAGTTTAACATAGGTAAAGCTTAGAGCTGAATTTCACCAGCTGATGCTGCTTCAACATCATCTTTCTTTGAATCCCTGATATGAGGAACTATCCTTATGGCACCGCGACTATGATAATCCGCAAGAGCTAGTAAGATCGATATGTGCATTACTTTTCCCACTTCTGTTTCCAGATCAAGAATTATGCCCACATCCACCTTTACAGCGCTATGCTTACTATCCTCGCCTCTTATTCGAATTACATAGTCGCAAAAGCTAATGATGGAAACAAGTTGAACGAAAAGAATTAGAAATTTGCATCTTGGATTATGCATTTGAAAAACTTTGGTAGAAAGTAAATATGAATTTTGAGCAAAAAACAGTTGTGCTAGTGCAAGATGTATAACCACCATTCAGAGATGTGTCTTAACTTCTCCACCATTAAATAAAGACCAAACGAAAAGTCAAAAGTTTTCAAAGAATTACAAATGGTTTAAAATATTACCTAGTTTGATTATTTTATTAAAGAAAAGGTCTTTTCACACTTGTTAGACCACAAGCTAGTAAAGCCTTCTCAGTTTTGACCAAATCAATAAATGACTAAATGAACATAGTGACAAAATTTATGGTACTCATTCTCTCAATACCAAATGAAGTTTTTGTATTTATTGGATGACTATCTAGAGTTTATTAAAAGGACTTCCCATATTTTGGCCAAGTCATGGTGAAAGTTCAGAGCTAGCCAGTTACAAATAAGGAGAATAGACCATTGTTTCTATGACTTGGACATTGGAAAAGGGTAGCTATGACTTGTAATCTTTAGTTTACTTACACGGTTTCAGTTTAGAATTAGTCAGTAGTATAAAACTTTATGGTGGTAGAGGCACACCTTGTAGGGTTGTTTAGGATTATGATTAAAAAATTAAATCGAATCATAATACGAATTAAATCCATTAAAAAAATTAATATTTGGTTTAGTTTTAAATTTTGAAGATCGACAGTATTTGGTTTGGTCTGGTTTTACTTAACCAAACTGAATGGATGAATTTTACATATATGTGTTGTAAATTATTTATATATTATTCATAAATAAAATAAAAAATATTTTGTTAAATTTTGATTAACTTAAGTCTTAGTTTAGCTATTACAATCCTAAGTTTAAATTCATCAAAATTCATTATTTTAAACTTTACCTACCTGCTTCACCTAAGATAGTTACACTTTCTCTTAATTGAATCACTTATACGTGTAATTATAATAACTTTAGTATTGCTTAATTGAATCCGCATTAACTTTCATGCTTATACATATGTCTTAAAAAAACTTATTACTTTCAAATCGAAATAACAAAAAATTGAACAAAACCGACAATTAAATTTTTCGTTTGGCTCTAGAATTTAAAAAATTCACTAAATTGGTCTGATTTTAATTTTAACCAACAACTAATACAAACCAAACCATGAACACCCCGAGGCAGACTTGGTATGTGAGGGATTACTGTAATACCTTTCTTTTCACTTTGTTTTTTTTTAAAAAAAAATTCTATTGGTAAATTTTTCAAATCAGTTTTTTTACTCATGAACTCTTTACTTTTTCCTCTTATATTATAAAATATAAGATGAAATATAATATACGTATCAATATGATAAATATAAAAAAAATGATATAGAAATAATTAGATAAATATCTTGAGTACTAATTTGAAAAATTTAACAGTAGAATTTTTTAAAACAGAAATGAGATGAGGGGTGAGGAGCTAAAGGAGAGAAGAAAGATAGAACCTAATATGAGAAAGGTAGGTCCCCATATTTTCTTGATCAAAAAGTAATTTACCTACCAAGTCATATTTATGCCACTACTGCCATACATAATTTTTTTTGTAATTAACTTGCTTGCAAGTTGCAAAACCAAACAAAGCAAACACACCCAACATGGAGATGGAATCTTGGAATGAGGATGGTTGGGTATACATGTAGGTGTCAATGTCATTGTCTCAATAAATATATATATATATATATATATATATATATATATATATATATATATATATATATATAACTCCCCCTTATAATTTACGTGACATTCTTTCTTTTTTAGTTTATTTCAAAAAATAACGATATCTTATTATGATTAGAAACAAGGAAAAAAACTCAAATATACTATTAAATTTGAGAAAAAACATATCTATGTCATTCATTAAAAGTTTAGTTCATCTATGTTATTTTCGTTTGAGAAAAAACGGATCGATTCCATAAGTTTTTAACTAAAAATAATTTTGGTTTTTGTAAAATCATTTTATCGTCATCAATTAAATCATTTTTTTATAAGGGAAAAAATTCAAATATGCCGTCGAACTTTGAAAAAAGGCTCATTTATGTCCTCCGTTAAAAATTTTTCTCATCTATGCTATTTCAATTAACAAATAATTGCATGAATGAAGTTTTCTCAAATGCACATGGCATAGAAGAGCCAATTTTTTAACGAATGACATATACGGACATTTTTCAAAGTTCGATGACATACTTGAGTCTTTTCTCTAGAAACAATTTCACTCAAAATTCTCTTTTACTCTTGATGAATTTGTTTATAAACACACAAATATCTAAAGATTGTTTTAGATCACAAGTTCAAAAGTCATTCTATTTTTCTTAAATATCATGTCAAGTCAAATGGTGCCACATAAAATAGGACGTAGTTACGTAGAGAGTAATTGTTAATGCAAGAGGAAGCTGCTCAGGAAGTTACGTGTATGATGTTGAAGTTATTTTCCATGCAGTTGAGGTGATTGATTATTTGCTGTGGTCGTTTTCTGTTATGGCCACAATAAATTAGAACCCTGTCTATTATCTCTTTAACCTGTTTTTCTTTTTAATTTGCATTTTTTTTAGATTGGTAACAGCATTATTAAATTGTTAACAGCACTAGTTTGCAATATTTTTGGTTTCAGCAAACATTATTTGCACATATTGAAAGAAATATATATGATCTGGTTTCATTGAATTATATTAGTGAAGAGAAAACAAAGTACTAATTGTTATTTTAAGGTGTCTCTGAAACTTTGATGATTTAACGAACTTTTGAATCTCAGGAGAGACTGATGCACATAAAAAAAAACAGCGGTCTAAAAGCTGCAACTTGCAACACCTGTTGTGGTTGGTGCGCGTCTTTTGCAGAGCAACAGACTCTCAGCCAATGGCATTGCTCCAACAGTTTGTGTCATCTTTCTTCAATTGTGCCTGTAATGGTTTCTGAACTGGAGTTCCAGGTTTCTGTTGTAAAGAACCCTTCAGCATCAGGGGATGCTCCTAGTTCATCGGAAATTCTGATTTCTGGGCTTTGCGAAGGAAGGTCAGGCAATATCTCAGGAGAAGCTTCACTAGCTGCGAGCAGTTTAGGTGCATTGCTTTCAGATGGCTCTTCTGACGTAGAATTAGAGTCGTCTTTCTCTTGATCAAATACTTTTGCAATTGCAGTAAGCTTTTTACATATTGAATCATCAGTGGCTAAGATTTCTCTATTCTGATAAACGAAGTTGAGGAAGAATAGGAGAAGAGCGGAGCCTGCTGATACACCAGCTATGAGGAAAAGTCCCTTAAAACTATCTAACGTGAGGCTATCAGATGTTATATCCGTTTCATCATTCTGTGTACAATCTGTTTCATTCCCAAACCATTTCTGTATTACGCTATTCATAAACTCTCCCTCCATCACCTTCAAGACTGCTCTCGACACGTCAGGTACCAAAGGAGATCCTTTTGGAAATGCCTGCAATAAGTTGAGAGAAAATAAAAGATTAGGTCATTGAGCAAACAAGAAACCATTCTAAATATATGTAAACATCAGTGGAGTGCAACAATCTTACAAACCCAAAGCCGGCAGCCCTGTATGTCTGGCCGACCATAATATACTTCCTGCAGTACTTGTTGAGGAAGAGTCTGAGATAAGGTAGTTCATCAACAATTGCACCAACACCTCCATTTTTGCTTCCTTTTGAGAGAGCATCATCAAAATCTTCCAATTTGTTATAACTTCTGAACTTGGAGCTGTCAAATTTCATGTGCTTTATGAAGGCGTCTTTGACAAAGGAACCTTCTTGGTACCCAACATATTCTCCATTCTTGATGAGATCATTGAGGTCTGTTATAGTAGGTTGGAGCTGTTGCAGTGTCAACATAGATGTTAAGCTGGCTGTATAACTTGATGTCAGCACCAGAACCACAAAAACCCACACTATCAGCACAAATCTTGTTAAGTTACTAGTTACCTTCTCTCCTGCAATAACCATCCATATATATGATTTGTTGAGAAGCAAAGGAGAGAAATCCTAAATCTTTCTTATATAGTATGCTTTGAGTTAGCGTCTTACTATGAGCAAAAACGAGAGTTGAGAAGGAAAACCAAAATATCATCCCAACTTGCTTGCGTTTGGGTCCTCGAAACTCTTTGTTTACACGATGTTCTAGTACCCAAACCACGAAACCAATGAAAACAAAGAATGATCCGGTTGTAATCCAGAGCTCGCTCTTTAGAGGTTTCAAGAAAATCCAAGCGTTCTTCCTATCATCATCCCTTACAGGCACAACTACAGAAATACCGGACCCTATAAAAGGTAATGTGAAATCCACATACTCTGACCGGCTCGCTAAAATGGTCACATCACCTACAACTGCATCATACTCCTGGTTCAAGCAAACAATGATTATTCCAGTATGTATAGTTGATTGTAATAGCAGAAAATAGAGATGGAAGTCCCAGAAAGGACCATGTTAGTAAGATATATAGCCAAAGAGGTTCATTGGAACAAGGATTATATATTACCTGAGAAGTGATCTTGTGAACAAGATCATCATAGTCTGGAAGAGTGAGGGGATCTTGTATTGGAAATGGAATAAATTCGTAAGGGAGAGCATATGGCAAAGATAGGATGACTTCTTTGAAGACATCTGCGCAGAAACCAGTTGCTGTTACTGCTTGTGTTTGTGGATCTCTATCCACTTTAATGAGTTGCTCCAGCCCTCCTTTGAGAGGAACTCCAACCCTTAACTTCTTCCCACTTGTGGGCATTTCCCAGCCTTTCGGAACAATAGTAGTTTCACCAGGCCAAAAAATGGCTCCTAGTTGCGTATTATTACACTTAGCTGCTGTTTTACCATTCATCTTCAGTTCACACGAAATGCCATCCCTCTTCGTCCAAAGTCCAATGTTTTTTTCTCCTTTCCCAATTATATTCACAATCTGATACGGGACTGGCTGCAGTTCTCCATCGATGATACGGAAATCACCACTTAATCCTTGTTTTAGCTCTGTGTTTCGCATAGAGTCAATGAGCAGAGATCCCACTGCTGATGTTCCAAGTGCATCTAAGTCTGTTAAGTTCTCTCTAGTGTCTGGTTTCTTTGATTTTGGGATAGCAGTAGTGCCCAATTTCTCTACTGCTTCTGCTAATGACGTGATGCTATCGTATGCCCATAGCCCGAAAATATTGAGTTCTATTTGGTCCATGTCTGGATACTCTTGGCGGAATCTCTTTCTCCATCTCCTTGTGTAACTGTTACGCTGATCTGATCTTGGAATGTAAGGTTTTACACCAAGAACACCTTGCATTGATGACTCAATCACTGAAGTATCTACCGAGTCAAGAAGACTCGTTAGCACATCTGTGATGATCCATGCATATCCACTGCTCATCATCCCAGCTTTGTTTGCCTTGAGGAAAAGGCGTTTGGCAAGTTTAGGTCTCAAGTGCACAATGAACACCCTGGTCTGCATTGTTTGCAACTTGTATAGCTCACTGAGGATTCGATCATCATTTGCTGAAGGAGAAATAACACTTCTATAGGAGACTGAAGTGCCGATTTCCAGCAAGGCATCAGTCAAATGTGGAACTATCCCAGTTCCAAAGAGGCTATCCTCATAGATGACTACAACCTCCTTCCAATCAAACTTCTTTACAATTGCTGCAATGGCCTTAGTCTGGCTGGAAGAAGGAAGTGCTCCTCTGATGAAAAAGGGATTTTCCTTCACTGTAAGTAAAGGATTTGTTGCTGGAGACATGATAGGAACTTTTGCTCTGTTCCCTAAGTCAATCACAAAATTAGTTTGTGTAGACATTATTGGCCCAAAGATAGCTTGTACTTGGACATCCTTTAGCAAGTATATGGCTACACATACACAATCAAACAATAAGAAATTTACCCAAAAGTAAGATAAACATGCTGGTTCAACAGAAGTAAATCATGGAACTGAATTTACCAGCAGATGTTGCTTCAACATCATTTTTCTTGGAATCCTTGATATGAGCAACTATCCTTATGTCACCGCGACTAGTGTTGGCATGATAATCTTCAAGTGCTAGTAAAATAGATATGTGCATTACTTTTCCCACATCTCTTTCCAGATCAAGAATTATACCCACATCCACCTTTACAGCACTGGTGTTATTATCTCCACCTCTTACATAGTGGCAAAAGCTAATGATGGAGATAAGTTGAATGAAGAGAATTAGAAAGTGGCATCTTGGATTATGCATTTGAAAAAACTCTGGTAGCAAGCAGTTGTGTTTGTGCAAGATAACAACCATTCAGAATGATAAATTTTCCTATAATTAATAAGACCAAACTCTCCATAAATGCAGAAAGAAAAGTCAAAGAACAAATGGTTGAAAATTAAGTTATTCATTTGATTATTGAAAGTGAGGACTTTTCACATATGCTACAACCGTCAAAGCTAGTAAGCTTACTACCCCTCAGTTTTGACCAAATCAAAAATTGATTGGTACTCCTTTCCCTCAATACCCAATTACTTTTTATGTGTACTATCTAGAGGATATATAGAAGGAAACATACATCAAAATACAACTAGTTTAAGACCTGATTATTCAAATATACTTTAGTTTGCGGTATCATGCATCTTATCAGATTTTTGTATGTTCAGATACATGTATCTGAGTTTACTTAGGGTCAAAATTACATTAGGTGTAATTTTTCTCTAGATAAATTGTAACTAAATGACTTTGCATGTACCTAGATACATTACAAATTTCGCTCGCATCCCTCGCCTCTCTCCCATCTCACACTCTCGGTATTCTAGATACATGTGAACCACACCAGATATATGCACATAAATGTATTTAACATGTATATAGTGTAATTCTCATATATCTGGAATACATAACAAATTTCGCTTGCCTCTTTTCTCATCTCGCTGCCCTATCTCCCTATTTTTGTCTATCTTATGACAAATATATGCAATCAAATGTAAACTCTTAAGTAATGGTAAGTGACTTAATATTAAAAGTATAGAATATAATAGTATATATGATAGTGAAGTATACTTAATGGTGTAGTTTTTTTTATATTGAACGGACTTCCCTTTGGCTGAGGCACAGAAATTAGAAGGTTAACAAATTTACTCAGTTACAAATTCCACAATTAGACCAATAAGTAGAAGAACCCATTGTTTTCCAACAATTGGACAAAGGCTAGAAACGACTAGTAATCTTTAGTGAGTTAATACTTCAGATGGTCACTCAACTATGCACTCTTCTCTCAGAAAGTTACTCAAATTTCAATTTTCACTCAAAAGTCACTCAATTATGCACTTCTTTCTCAAAAAGTCACTCAACTTTAAATTTTAACTCAAAAGTCACTCAACTATCCATTCTTTCCTCAAAAAATCACTCAATCTATTAAATTATTTTTTTAATTAAAAATTGTTGATATTAATTATTTATATAACAAATCAAAAATTAAAAAAAAAATTAAACCATTTAGTGAATCCACCCACCTAAC